AGGTATCAAACTTTTTAGCGACAGCAAAAAAGGCGAGGAAGGAAGGGATGGGAGGAATAGGTTAGAAGGGTGAGAAACAGAAGCTAGCGAGAACGCTTTATTTCAAGACACACTGGCTGTTATCCCCTTCTCACCCTTACTCTTCTACCCTTGAAATACTCTTAAGCTACATATTCAGCGGTAAATAATTTTCAAAAACATTTTTATTACAAATACCGCTGCTAAATCTCTAAAAATATCAAATAGAAACCAAAGGAATTTAATTTGAAAATTAACCCTTTATCTATTGGAAATCTATTAATAGGGTGAAAAAAACTAAAAATTAGAATTTTTTGAATTCCTGCTTTCTCTGTGTCGCTATTTTTTCTAGGAAAGATTTCATCGCCCTGTTCTCTGACATTTTCGTTTCTCTCATTTTCTCGTTTTCTTCTCGGCTCTCTTGTTTTTTGGATTTTTCAACTTTTCAACGATCCCTCGGTGTTTGCCTGTTTGTGCGTAACGTTGACAAAGCGTTCGCCCGTTCGTTTGGTTCTGAGAATAAATATAGCAATTTACGGAATGCCAGTGGCTCGTCAAATATTTACTACTAGCAATTGTTTGGAATTGCAGCTGAACCATCCGTCTACATCTGTTTCAGCGCAGTTATGATGCATGCAATATAAATGTTTGAATTCCGTTGATTGGCTGCTTAAAAATCTTCCTTATCGCAGCTCGTTTCCGCGCTGGAATCGAGGAATTTACGAGGTTCCGCGGATGTCGTAACTTCCGCTCGAATACAACAGGCGTCGAAATTAAAAGCGAACGATCGTTGGAAAATGTCGAGAGCCGGAAAAAGCCAACTCACCAGAGGAAATTGAGTTATCCTGCCAGCCGGATTGCGTGACGTACCGTTTCGATAAAATTAAACGCCAATAATGCATCGCTCCAACGTTCACAGATTCCTCTTTCCTCTGGTGATTGATTCAAAATTTCAGAGTTAAAAATCGAGGAAAGGCAAAAATTTCAAAAATTTTCCGATCCTTGAAACGCGTTAATCAAAGAAATTTCACTCTCATTAAAAAAGTTACCGAAACTTCTTTCCTATTCAAGTTTATTCTTCGAAGTTAACTGCATACTCTCGGATCTCACCAGGTGTTCCTCCGAGTCAAACGTATTTATAACTTGAAAAGCAAGCGTTTCTGAACAGATGTTTTGTATAAACTTTCCAATGATTAAAATATGTCGACTGAAGAGATAGAAATAGCTGTGTCCAGAGACGGACCGTGAGTGAAATTTTTTCGACAGGAAAATTAGCGACAGACGAGCTCTAATTTTAATTAATTAGGCCTCGAATTCTTACTAGACCTGTGTCTATAATTAATTTTTGAATGCAATGCCTCGATTCGAATGACCCTCTTCGTTTGAAGTCCTGTTAAAATAGCTCGGAGTATGGTACTCGAGGGCCAATTTGTCAGATACCCAGCCAGGGTATCGGTCTCCCGCATACAGAAAACATTTCCAGTTGCCCGGCGATCTTCGTGGGAGTAACGGGTTCAATGGTTCAGATTCAAGACGGGAATCAGGCTGGTTAAGTTGTCGCTGCCAACCGAGAAGAAAAAACAGCCGGCCATTAAATATTTTGCACCGTGAACGTTTGTTCCGTTACTTTCGACGTTCGAGAATAACTAATTAACCGAGGAAAAATCAAATTTCTAGAAACATTGGAAAATATTTGCATTCCGATAAATCTCAGCTAAACACGCGTTTATACGTAATTCTGATCCAATTTCCTTTCTTCTATTTCCATGAAAGACCTCCATCCGTTTTCTCGTTCGACCGAATTAGCGTGTCGGCTTGTCGAGCGTCCAGAGAATTGCTCGAGAGATAAATCTCCATATTCCCGGTCGTTCTTTGCCTATCTCTTTGTTCAACACGCTCCTCGTAGCTACGAGAGTTTCTTGTTACGTTTCCGAGGGCGAAACGCCATCGGTTTCTTGCATACCTGTAAAACCCTCTGCTACGAGCGCGCGTGTAATTTCAGGCACCGAGGGAAAATTGTTGATATTTTATTTTTACTCATTCCATTGAAATTAACGCGATACGCCGTTAATAATAATTATCGCCGATGACTTTGTTCGAATTCGTCTAATTTTTTCCAACCAAACCCGACCCGATCGATCGCATCGGACAGTTCGTACACCTTGATAAAATCGTGATATCATTATCACGCGTTATCGCATGTAACACTGTCAGTAACAATGCGCGCGATTCGTATCGATTCAACTGGGATCGAACGGTGGCTCGCTTAGATAGAAGCTTCTCGCATCTGTCAGAAACAACCTCCTCGCGTGAATCATTCAGCGCTATATGCAGTGCACGAGTGCACCCGGTGCATCGGTAAAGCGTACCCGGAAACAGGTGTCGACGGTGACGTTGCATTTACAGAGCGAACAACGGTTTCGTCGTGTGTCACACTTTCCATCGATTGCGACGAGGAAAATTCAAGGGAGAATTGCAGCAATTGTCGCGAACGATTAAATAAATATTTATATTACACGATAAGAGTACTTTAGCGGTACCGCGAGCAAATAGTAGGGAATCGGGTTAAACAAAGGGAGTTAAAACGAAATTTAGTCTGGCGCGGTAATGATCGGTAGCCCACGGTCTCAGACTTCTGCCACGAACGTATTTTCGTCGTTCTTTCTATCGTAGGGAACAATCGCCGGAACTCGTTAAAAGCCCTCGCGTCTGTCAGTCGGTACGACGTACATTAATAATGTACACTCTTCTGCATAATGACTGGTCGGTCCTTTTCTTTCTCTATCCCCTTTAGCAACCCTCTGCTGTACTTATTTTAACCTCGACGAAATATGAAACACAGCTATCAAAATCTTTCTCCATTCCAGACTTGATATGTATTAATTTTTTAATTCGCTCTTTAATTTCTTCTAATTCTAAATATTATTTTCCTTCTCTTTTTCGTTTATGTCGGAGGGGAAGTACTGTTTTCCCACTATTCGACGCCCGGGCAGCGTGGGATTCGTAGCACCCACCCCAAAAAATTCGGGGTGCTACCCTACTCACTAATATCCATCCCCCTTTCAACCTTTCAGATTATCCCAGGAATACCAGCGTGAAAATATTATCTTCCTACGTCGCTTCGACAATACTCCAATCGAATGGTAAAAATGAGACGGCGGATAAATGGCTGTCGTTATTTCAGGTTCGAGCTCTGATCACGGTTGCCGGACCACCTAGTGATTTTGCGGTGGAAAAATGGCACGCAATGCGAGAGCGGTTTCGGTGATCGCCGAAACGGAAGTGGCAATAAAAGCGGGGAAAATCGTTCGGTCGGTTAACTCGTCGTAGTCCGGTGTCGTGGAAAGGTCGAACGTGAGGAAACGAGAGACGCAACCACGATCGTTTCCGCAGTATCTTCACGTACGACATCGAAGACGCGCACTTGACACTCTGCACCATCGACGAGTTCACGCGCGATAACGTTCACGGAATACCAACGGCAAGAAAGAACACACCACGATCCTTCTAGCGCACTCGAGAGGGATTACGCGGCCATACGGCAAGCAGAATCGACCTATCGTCGAGGATCGTTCTGATTTATTACAAGATAAAATGTGGGAGCTTCCTGAATGGTCAAATTGGTCAAATGGAAAGGGGATGCTATTTAGTTGTCCCCTGGTTGAAAGAGATACGTTTTCCCAGGGTGGATTAAAATAATTTGTAACAAGGAATCATGCGATTTTGATGAAACTTATGTATAATATAGTTCTCGAAAAAATATTTGACACAAAGCGAATATTTGATTGAATATCTCGGAAACCTTCAGAGCTAGAAGGATGGTGTAAATTACAAGATTGCAAGATTATGAGGAATCTATATACGAAAATGATATATTAAAAAATAACATTTTTTTGTTAATTTTTCTGATCAGAAGTTGATACAAAATACGGATAAAATGGAATTTTCATTTTTACATTGCAAATAAATTTATCATGGTTAAATATTTCAACGTATGAAAAGAGCAAAGAAGAGTTTCACCTTTCCCTGGTATCGAGCAACCAACAAAGAGGTTGGTATAAAATTATGCCCCCCTGTATCCTCGATTCGACGCCCATAAATGCACCGACGGAGGGACACGAATTTTCATGTCGCAACTCGTCCCTGGAAAAAGACACGAGGTTCCCTTCGATCGCGTGTCCTCCTCGCGGTCTGTACACGCATAAGAATGGATGGATGTAAAGCCGTGGAAGGTAAAGTAGCGTGAAGGGAACGTAGGGGCGTGCGAGGAATTTTCAAAATCTTTCCAACTCGACAAACTCCGCGGTCCCTACAGCGAGAGAGGGAGAGACAGTGTCGTACATATCTTGAAAAGCTATCGTAACAGCCATCTAATATTTGCAGCGATACTTTGCCGCGTGTATAAAGAATTCTATTCTATTCGATGGAAGCACCGGTCGGGGTTCGCCAGGCTGATTCGTAAGAAAAAGGGAAAACTTGTAAATGGAATACGCGAAGGGGGTGAGGGTTCAATTGCGAACTTTGTACGGCTTGGTAGGGCGATTTTTTTTCACGAAAGCACGAGAGGAATCCGGTTCGAGAGAAAAACAGAGGCCGTTACGCTGGCTCGCATAAATTTCGTCCCTTGGATATTGAAAATTTCAACCCTGCCCACCCTTCGTCCGAAGGTTTGATGAGGTTGCGCAGGATTCTTCGCTGGAGCATTCAGTTTATCATAGTAATCTTGACTTTTTTTTTTTTTAATTTAACCCTTTCCAGCCGAAATTAAGGGCGCGCCGGGTTGCCTTCTACCGTGGCAATCAATTCTTCGGACCACTTTTCTCCGATACAAGTTAATTACTCTAAAGCATCGACAGATAACACGGTAATCGTCTCTCTGCACGCGAAGCAAGGGAAAAAAAGCTGCCGCGTGTCGTTGACCGGAGTTTCGCTCGAGTTTCACCAACGGGTGTTACTCTAATAGAATTCAGTAAATTACTTACCAACAAGTCCCGCGGTGCACTCCAATTGCCCCAGGATTCAGCGGTCTGAAAAAAAGAAAAAAGGGAACAACGACCTATTAGTAATACAGCGGTGAAGCGTATCGATTATTGGATCGAAAAGTACCAAGTTCTATTTAAAATAAAAAGGATCTTTCGCAAAGTTGGAGGAAACAGGAGAACAAGGAGAGCGTGTAGCTATTAGTATCTGAAACTCTCTCTTCCTGTTTCGCCGCTAAAAACGAGCCTCCATCGATCATCGAAACGGCTATGCAAATTTATTTTACGGTAACTCGTCGACTTTTTACTCGCCTGTGAAATTAACGATCGACAAGCTCGACTCCGCTCCACAAGATTGACTCCGCGACATCAACTTATCGCCAGTTGCTTGAGTTTAGCGAGTCTGAACTCCGAGGTTGAATTAAAACGTGAAAAATCGCAGTGTTATATACGATCCATGGAAAAGGGATAAATTTAACCGGATATTTGTCATTTATCGCGTAGCTGGCCGATCTCGAGCAACGATCATCGATCAAAAGGGTTAAAAGTTGAAGGGGAACGTCGAGCTTTGCCTGGTGAAAATTAGCGATATTTCGAGTGACAGGAAAGAGACAGATCGTATGTAGAACGTCGGTAGCGATCGTTGAGGAAATTAGCGAACCGTGCAACGAGACGAGACGAGTGACAGCTTCTCGGCTGAAGAAGGCACCGCGCGGTGGCCGGGTAAAATTAACGCTGTTTCCTGTCGAGCAGCGAAACAGAACGGATTCAACGCGCGCCACCGCTTGTTTCGACCGCTGGGGAAAATTAATGCCGACCGCTCTGGCGAATGAAATTAGCAGCAATCGCGTGGCGAAACGCCGAAAATATTGCCGTTTGCGGTCGAACCTGGCGCCGCTCGAAACTGCCCGACAATGTTCGCGCCACTGATTAAACAACGCCATTGATACTCGAAAATGATTGCCTCTTTGCCAATTGACACGTTTATAATTGTATTAAATGAATCGGAGGGAAAAAAGTAGCCATGTATCTAAATTTGAGAAAAATAAAAATGAAATTCAAGTTCCCACTGTCCCAGGATTAATAGATTCATTTCCAGCAAATTGGAAGCTACGAATCGTAGAACGAATTAGGGGTAGCAAAGTGCTAAAAAAGGAAATTGAAGCCTCTTTGTTCGTGCTTTTTACGCGGAGCCTCTTTCCGCGGTACAAATGGATCAATCGATCGGTGAGCGGGAAAAAAAGGAGGGAAGAAAAGATAGGAAAAAATGAGAAAAGGGAACAGCTTCAGCGTCGGGACAAGAAATACGTCCAAGTACCCACGGCGAATTACACTGATTTATTATTTTAATTGGACCGTTTAATTGGCGATCCGATTATTCGCGACACGAGTCGACGTAACGGCGCGACGATTCGAACGGAGCGAGTTCGACCAGTCGAATCGATACTCTCGTTACGCGCGCTTGCGTTCTTGATATTTCCATGCACGTGCGTTGCACATCCGAGATTTACGGCTGTTTCGGATTTCGAGCGCAGACATTGCTCTGGTTTAAATGAAACTGTTCGCAATATGTAAAGAGCAGAGTGCTAAATAGACTTTTCATTTTTTTTTTGAAGGGAAATCATTTCCAAATGAATTGCATAATAATGCAACTGAAAACCATACGTGCATGGTTCAATAAAAAATGTAACAAGCGCATAAATAGTGATGCATCGATCGATAACAAGTGATATTAAAGCGGGCAGACACGGAGGGTTGGAAATACGCATCAAAGTTCTTCATCGAACCAATCCCGAGATCAATCGACTGAAAGTTCATTTCAGCCCATCAGACTCTGGCTGAAATCTGGATTAAACGTTCGGGTTATCGAATTCAATCGACCCTGCTGCGCGCACCCTCCAACCCCCCTCGCTCGGACCCCCATATTAATCCCTTAATATTTTCGGCGCGAAAAAAAACGAATTAAATCAGCGCCGAAAAAAGAGCCTCGTACGAATTGATAAACTGACAAGCGTTGATACATTATTTAATAACAGAGGGATAAATGAAATTTCTTTCATGAATAAATCAATCTACGTAAAATTAAACCGCCGATAGTATAAATTAATGAAATATACATTGTATTTAAAATGATATGAATTAATAATATTTCACGATTGTTCTTCCATTGGACAGTTAAGAAAATAATTAAATTTCTGTATAATAAATGGAGGAATATTTTTGAAAACGCCTTCGAGGCAGAATACGGTGAATTAACTGGTCGTTTGAGAACGCGTGACTCGACTAAGCGATTCGTCATTCGAAAACGTGCTCAAATTGTGCGTAATGAGTTAACTCATTACTCGACACCGCGTACGATGAATTAACCCGTTACGTGAGAATGTTTCCTCGGTCGCGCGTAATTGAGAACGGACTGTTATGAAAAATGAATTCGTGTAGAGCGAGAATTACTCTTCCTATCTGACTTCGATAACCATGATAATTGCGATAAATATATGCTGGAAATACGCTCCTCGATGGGGAAGAATAATTCGGTACAATAAACAACGTGGAAATTGTTCTCGGCGGAAACTACCAGTCGAACTACGGGTTGTTCTGTGAACGGGTTAAATCACGCGATACCACCGTTTTCCAGTAATACCAGATTTCCATGAGAACCCAGAACTACGGAACAATCCCACTTTTACCACATCTCAACTGTAACTGATGCTCAAGAAATTGCTTGAAACCAGCGGATACCGCAACGCAGATGTTGCCGCTCGCTCAAGCTGCGTCAATTGCTTTACCCTACAACTAACGCGATAATTTAGTTTATCATAACAATGTCACCGATATATCGGCAAAGTTTTAGAGGAAGCTAGTGTTGGGTACAGTATCGAGCATAGCAGGCTTCCGGGGTATCTGGCCCCTTCCCTTTACCCGTTCCCGAGGAGAATGACGGTACGGGGGTGGAGGTCCTGGCCCCCTATTTTTAACACGTTGAAGGTCACAGTATTAAGAATAGTAATAATTAATTTTCAAATTTCAAGCTTTCTATTTGTACCATACTATTAAAATAATATTTTTCTATTATTTTCTCTTAATTATTCAGCCATGTGTAAATTGCGGGGCAGATCACCGATGACCCCCATGGCGTTCAAAAAAAGCGGAGGTTGATCAATTCGATCAGTTCTTTTTTTTATGTCGATTACTCCGAGACGGATGGACATTTGCATTTTTTCATTGCTAGCGACTTCTTACTGTACAATAACAACGAACTCCACAAATTAATTTTCAAATTTCAAGCTTTCTATTTGTACCATACTATTAAAATAATATTTTTCTATTGTTTTCTTTTAATTATTCAGCCATGTGTAAATTGCGGGGCAGATCACCGATGACCCCCATGGCGTTCAAAAAAGGCGGAGGTTGATCAATTCGATCAGTTCTTTTTTTTATGTTCGTCGATTACTCCGAGACGGATGGGCATTGCATTTTTTCATTACTAGCGACTTCTTACTGTACAATAACAACGAACTCCACAAATTAATTTTCAAATTTCAAGCTTTCTATTTGTACCATACTATTAAAATAATATTTTTCTATTGTTTTCTTTTAATTATTCAGCCATGTGTAAATTGCGGGGCAGATCACCGATGACCCCTATGGCGTTCAAAAAAGGCGGAGGTTGATCAATTCGATCAGTTCTTTTTTTATGTTCGTCGATTACTCCGAGACGGATGGACATTTGCATTTTTTCATTACTAACGACTTCTTACTGTACAATAACAACGAACTCCACAAATTAATTTTCAAATTTCAAGCTTTCTATTTGTACTATACTATTAAAATAATATTTTTCTATTGTTTTCTTTTAATTATTCAGCCATGTGTAAATTGCGGGCCAGATCACCGATGACCCCCATGGCGTTCAAAAAAAGCAGAGGTTGATCAATTCGATCAGTTCTTTTTTTATGATCGTCGATTACTCCGAGACGGATGGACATTTGCATTTTTTCATTACTAACGACTTCTTACTGTACAATAACAACGAACTCCACATCGACGTGGAAAAACAGACGGGTGCACGAGTTGCGAGCGAATCGCGTGCGTTGCAGCTTGTACGCGCGTGTAACACAGCCTTCGAACAATGCGAGGAACTAGCGGCCCATTATAACCGGAGGGTATTGTACCGGATGTCTCGAGCCTGCACACGATGTCCACGGACGAAAGCGGCCAATAGTTTCGCCGGTGCCTAGCGCTGTCTGTTTCGCATCCACCCACACGTTCTAACGCGTACGTGTAAGTTAGCGAATGCGTGCGTCATTACCGGGCTACCCGATGCTCTTAGTCTGTACACGGTTGCCCTTACGAGCGCCATGTGCTCGCAACATGCTCCATCGCCCGGCCCTTCACTCGCGTGTCGCCCCCTCGACTGTAGGAACGGTTACGGTACAAGGCCCACCCCACTCCAGCCCCATCGTCCATGGGAAATCGTAATTTTCCCCCTTATGAGAAATCGTAATCTCTCGTTACGAGGATATTATGCAGCCTGCCGACGGAAAACTGCCTCTCGGTTGACCGAGAAATTGCGACGCCTTCGAAGGGGGTTGTGCTTTCTAATGAGTTCAGAACCGAGGAAATTTCTGATGGAGATTTATGTGCCGAACGGGGGGATGTTGCGTTCCATCCCCTCAAGGAAATATCGTTATTACCATGAAAATAAAAGGAAAGTAGTTTTCACCCTTGGGTGATTCGAACTACCCTTAGAGATAAAAGTTATTGTAGAAAAAAGAAAAAAAAAAAGTCTTGAAATAATTTTATGTAAAATTGAATAACTGTCGAATTCAAGATAAGATAGGAGACTCGAAGGGATAAGGTTGCAGTGTGACGCGGAGACGCGGTAGGACAAAGGGTGTTCAACTCGGGAACATCATATTCCGGTAATTTTGGGATTCCATTACGGGGATAACGAGTTTTGAAAATCGATCGACCGCGCTCCGAGCCGGCCAGGGGCAATTGCTTATTCAATAGCTGCTCGTTGGGAGTCCATTCAAAGCAATCCCTCG